CGATTCTCTTCGTCGACTTGCTCTTTCGTTAATAACTTGAGTGCAAAGAGAAAGTCGACGAAGAGAATCTGTCAATGTTACTTAGGACCTAATGCAATGTTCAGCTTGATTTGTTCATCGATTTCCAAACCACATACGGATTTCCGGATGAACTGACGCGATTGGTCAAGGCGACGATGGATCGAGTGATATGCGTTGTTCGAGTATTGGGGAAACTCTCGAGTCCCGTTTAATCTCGAAGGAGGTTACGGCAAGGTGATGGACTTTCGTGTCTGATATTTAACATCGCGTTAGAAGGTGTGATAAGAAGAGCTGGGATTTACACGAGTGACACGATTTTCAGGAAGTCTATCCAGCTACTTGGCTTCACCGATGGCATCGACATCATGGCACGGAACTTTGAGACGATGGCAGAAACGTTCATAAGACTGAAGGCTGAAGCTAGACGGATCGGACTTGCCATCAATGCATCAAAGACAAAATATATGAAAGGAAGAGGTTCTAGGGAAGACAATGTTAGCCTCCCACCCCGAGTTCAGATTGACGGTGACGAAATCGAGGTGGTCGATGAGTTCGTGTATTTGGGCTCACTGGTGACCGCCAAAAATGATACCAGCAGAGAAATTCAAAGACGCATTATGGCAGGGAATCGTGCCTACTTTGGGCTCGGGAGGACGCTCCGATCGAATAAAATTCTCCGCCGCACGAAGTTTACTATCTACAAGACGCTGATTACACCGGTGGTCCCTACGACCATTAGACCTGGACTTTGCTCGTGGAGGACCCTTGGTGTTTTCGAACGGGCGGTGATACGTACCATCTAAGGTGGAATACAGATAGATGACGAAAAGTGGAGGAGGCGAATGAACCACAAATTGCACCAGCTACTGGGAGAACCATCCATCGTCTACACTGCAAAAATTGGGCTGGGCAAAAATGCCGGACGACGATCCAGTGACACATTCTAACTTGTGACCATTTTTGCATATCGGACATAATATTACCATAGAGGTAACTCAGGGCTGGTAGCGATCAATGCTGTCAAAAATAGTGATTTTAGTGACCATGTTGAAGAAATAAGTGACCAAAAAGTTTATGACTAAACCTCCAAGCTTCTACTACGTGGGAAAACATGAAAAGCCGGGAATTCGCAGGAAATTTCTCCTGAAAATACCTGGAAGTATCAGGGAATCTTATCATTTCTCAGGAAATTTAATAATTTTCTGACTAAGTTATTTTCATTCACATATTGAACTTTATAGATCCAGAAAAGATTAATTTTCAGTAACAAATACATAAATTTATAAATTCTACACTGAAAAACTATAATACTTCAAAAAATTTTCAAGAATCTGGAATCAAATTCATAACATAGTTTTAAGGCTCATGAAATTTTATTATAATTTCTCAGGACCTCATTCCACGGGAGTTCTGGGAAAAAATCTATGAGAAAAACATCAAGTGTAATCTGCTTTCATGGTACGTCTATGGAATTTTAAGATAGTAAAGTCCATGCAAAATTTCATGAGAAATCTCCGTTGAATATGGAATGGACTAATCTGAGGAGTTCATAACTACTTGAAAGCTCCCAAAATATTCCTATTTCTAACCTGATGCTCGCAATACTTCTTATCATTTATTTTAACTTCTCTAAACTTGTTCGGACTTCCTAAAGTTTCCACAATTTTCCTAACGATCATGAATCTTCTCTAAAGTGTAAACAATTCACTGAGTTTCTCGAAACTTTTTTTTTTAATTTATGCAATTTCCCTGCTCTGGAATATCTCTGCTCTGAGGATATCCGTTCTTTCTTGAAGTTTTTTTTGTTTAGAGCTTTATTAGCGAGATCAATATCTTTCTCGAAGTTCGCAGTTCTTATGAAGCTTGTCGTACCCCCATGAATTTAATTGAACTGTTCTAAATTTTTTTAAGCTTGCGTGAACTTCTGAATTTATGTGAAAACCTCAATAATTTTCTTAACATCTCTAAAGTTCTCTGCTAATCTGGGAACTTCTTGAAATTTCTCGCTTATTTAGTAAAATTAATGGAACTGAACTCCCCTGAAATTCCCTTTGTTTTTGGAGCTAAACTTATTTGAGATGCTCCCGAAATGTCCATAAAAGATCCGGAAGTTTTCGGATCTTTTCTTAAGTTCCATAGACTTTTATGAAGTTCTCGAAATGTTTCTGAAAATCTCTGTACTTCTGTGAAGTTTTTGAAGTTATTTTGAAATTTCAGGAACTTCTTTAGGCTTTCGCAGTGAAATAATTAACATAGTTCTATTATTTTCACAGAAGTTATCAAGATTTGTCTGAAATTTAAATTATCGAAACTAGTTCATAACTTCTTTAATAGTTTAGAGTTTCCTGATGTTTTTTAAACTGCACAAAATATTTCTCAATTTCCTTAAAATTCTCTAGACTGCCATGCCCTAGTATTTTTTTTTTCAAAGAACCCACCATTTTACTGGAATTGATTTAATTACCTTTAAGTTCTACAATTTTCCTTAAGTTTAATAAAGTTTATAAACGCTCACGGAACTTTGCCGTAAATCACTTATTTTCCCTGGAAGAAGTTTTGTATACTTACCTTTATTTCTCTAAATTAATCAAATGTTCCGGTGAATTTTCTAATATAAATATATTTATAATTCCCCAAAGCTTCTTAAGTTTCCGGATCAATCATATAGAATTCTAGGAATATTCCATAATTCCAAGGAACTCCTTGTGAGTCGCTGCAAATTTTCTTAAATTAATGGGATTTTTCTGATGTTATCTAATTGTCCTCGAAGCACTCAGAACTTCACTGAATATAATGAAACAATCAACAATATCTAAATTTCTTAGAAGTTCTCTGGAATTTCTTGAAAATATCTGTGCTTGCTAAAAGTTACCGGTTTTTTTAATTAATGATACTTTGTTGGTGTTCTTTAATCAACTTAGATAAATTTTTGAATTTTCTATCGTTCAAGATCTATTTCCTTGATATAACACCCTTGAAATACTCTCACATTTTCCGGAAGTTCATACAATTTTTATTGCGTTTCAGAATTTTTCTCTGAGCAAACCGAGCTTTGCGGAATTTCCGGTTTCTGCAATTTTCTTGAAATTTTTTGAACTGCCCTTTAATTCTCTGATCCGTCTTGATGTTCTCGGAGCTTCCCTAAAAGTCTTAACTCTAATCTCGGTTCTACTTTAAAATAAATGGAATTTTCGTAAACACCTTTAAACATCCCTGGGATTCTCTGGATTTCTGTGAAGTTCATGAAATATTTCTGAAGTTTTCATAAATTTTCTGAAATTCTCTGCACTGAATCTTATAAGTTTTCGATTTGATTTCAGCACCTCATGGAACTATACTGAATTTGTCTAAAGTCACGCTTGTAGATTTTTAAACCAATTCAATGTTCTGGGCTGAAGTTTCGGGAACTTCCTCTTAAGATCTCTGGAATTCCCCAAAGATCTCTAGATCTACTACTTTATTTGCTTATCCTTGACAGATACGCGTATTTCGTCTACAATGTGCAGACTTCTTCAGTGTCTTGTACTTGTACTAATAGTCGAGTATTAGTACAAGACACTGAAGAAGTCTGCACATTGTAGACGAAATACGCGTATCTGTCAAGGATAAGCAAATAAAGTAGTGGAATTAAATGGAAAATACTAATCCTTCTCTCTCTCATTATACAGGTATTCCACTAAGACGCCCACATTCATCAGGATTCTAGATCTAGCTTTTCTGAGATCAATAGAACTTCATTAAAGTTTCCACATTTTTGATAGTACGAAACGTCAAGACATTAAAAATGTTGTGATCTTAGAGTTACAAAAATGAAGTAAGTGTTTCACTTTCATTTAAAACTGATTTTCATGCTTTAAAAACTTCTGCGTTTAAAACATATTTTTAACGCATTACATAAATAGCATTCTTATTTTAAACCTGGAAATTATCCGCTAAAGTTATGAAAAAACCTGAAAAACTCAGGGAACTTTATTTAGCCAAATTAGTTGACACCCTGTAGACAGAGAAGAACGATTTAACGAGAAAAAAAATCTCTATACAAGGTCGTCAACTTCGAATTGTTCAAAAATAGAACTAAATGTAGGCCTATCCAGAAGAATGATCAATCTTGAAATAAATTCACGTTTAAAAAAGTGCCTTATTACAAGAAAAAGTGACTTTAGTGACTTGGCCTAACAAAAAGAGACTTTTTAGTGACTGGCTTGAAAAAAGGGACCAAGTCACTAAAAAGTGACTCGCTACCAGCCCTGGGTAACTCTAAGACTAAAAGGTCCCGAAGAAACGTGCTCAACTTTTTGGCTCAGCTCTGGTACTATCTTCGGTTCCAAGCTAATCAATGCACCCTTCGAAGCATAGGAAAATCCACGAACCCCTCATTTTATCTGTCAATCTTTCATAGCGAATCAAAACAAACATAGTGTAGTACTAGAATTTCGACTAGAATGGGGTACGTTAATCGATTTGCTTGGGACCAATAGGCTAGTCAAGTAGTATTTTAAATCGTTAGTTTCGAATTGATTGTTGATATTACTCCCTCTTTCCACTCCTCCGACTATTGTGTATCCCGAGGTGTATCCCAGATCCTGACTATCAGACGTGGCAATGCCAATTTAGTAAGTTCCGCACTGATATCATCTGAGTTGTTCACAGATAATAGACGTTCCAGGTCGCGTGTACGCAATACATGCTCATCTTTGAATATGTCATAAAATTAAAAAGCACGGTTTGTGAAACTGTCGTACTCTCGTTCCAGCTGCACACGTCTTTATTATCATCTTTGCTTGATTTACTAGGTGAGGACTATGCATGTTGATCATGTCAATGTTGGAAAAACGACCTCTGATCGTCATTTTTGTCCTAAGGCTGAAAGTCTCGTTAATAAAGAAAAAAAAAAAAAAGTCATTTTTGTGTCGAATAATAAATGGATGTGATATTGATCATCAGCACGATCAAAAATTAACCATCGAAAACAGATTCACTTAAGTATTGTAGAATTTATTATTTTCTTCGCTTTGTAATTTGCACTAGTTACAAATGAAACATTTGTAAATTATTGTAAACTTACGTGACAGGTAACGCAAAAGTCTAAATAAATTGATGTATGAAGGGAAAATAATCAGGTTGAACCAATGAGTACTTTCTCTATCTCTGCAAACCGCGTTTATAAAGTAGAGTCTTCGTAAATACCTGAATTTTAATTTAATGCATATCATTTCATTGAATGTCAAAGAGGGCCCTTCAGCTCAGACATACATTTTGGCTGGTTAATAATACAATTTCAATAGTTCGAAGCTCTACTCGAGTATAGATACTTAACCGTGAGCTGAAGATATGCAAGCCTTAACTAATATTAGTCTATCACAAACGAAGGATTATGATTTAGTTAAAATTTCAAATTTTACAGTGAAAAAATCCTTGTCAAGCTTGCAACCCCTGTTACAGCAGATATCCAAATTCAAAAACGGAAGGTACTCAACAAATCTCAATCTGTATTTTCAGCCATTTTTTTATCTATTGTTACGATAGGTATGTGAAAAAATGTGGAGTTTATTTTTTGAGAATAAATCTCGCAAATTTTGATAAATAACTTAGCAGTACGAAAAGTAACTGGAAACTGTAAATACACAATTCATCAGATTTACGCAAACACACGCATACACAAAGCACACACATAATTTCGCAACCATCATGATCCGAATAAATTAGTCTATATATGAAGCTTGATAAGCTTGATCGCAGTGTGAGATTATTCGTCTTATGTAGTTTAACTTACGCCTTCCAATCGGGATTGTAGTTGATCCGATCCTTGCTCATTCCCTTCACGTCGATACCCAGGTCTTCGTCCGGAGTGCTGAGCCAATCGCTGTTGCTACTTTCCGACTTCCGCAGGTGCAAGTCCGACGTCGAAGTCGTGTTGGTATTGTTCGTTGTTGTGGCCGTCGTCGTTTGCCCACTGGCAGTGCTATTGGTAGCCAACGCTTTCTGGTTCGAACTACTCGAAGTGGTCGTTTCGCTCTTGGTCGAATTCAAATTGTCGAAACTAGGACTTTTCGCCAACGCAAGATTCAGGTTCTTCGAATTTTGATACTGATTGAAAATATTCGGCACCTTCGGTGCACCCTCGTGCGTTTCCACTCCTTTTCCAGACTTTGTCCTCACGATACTTATCCCATTCTCCAGGGCACCGTAACGATTTTGAGCCGATTTGGGAATGTTCGCATATAACTGATTACCGGAATTGCTCAATCCACTCTGATAGCAGTGATTGCCACTAATGTTACTCGAACTTCCTGCCGGTTGCACCAAATACTCCCGCTCGGATCCACCTCCCATGTTATCACAGCTTCCTGATCCGCCCCTTGGCATTTGGTACGTTGTCCTGCCACGGAGCCGCCTACTCAACGAGCTTCCCACCACACCCAGATGCTCACTCACATCCTGATGAACGTCGGATATGTCCAACATATTCAACAAGGCATTATACCACGACCCATTGCTGCCACCATTGATGCTACCTCCGATTCCAAGACTACTCACAGGAATGTTCAGCTCGTACGGTTTGTGTGAAAAACTGTAGTGATGCGCCAAAGCCGCCAGGAACATTTCGATACAGATGAGAAAGTTTTGCAACTTCGACGACAGCAGACTGGGATCGTCGTTCTGCTCCGAAACGAAAATGTTGTGTATGAACCCAAAGTACACCAGGAAATTGATAAGTACCCCTTGGCTGGAAATCAAACCAAGAGATTATTGGAAAAATGTCCCTAGGTAAATCGTAATTGCAGACTTACAAAAACGAAAAGAACACCACCGCCTTGATGCAGAGGAACTTCGGAATCGGCTTCATCGGTTTGAGCTCGTCCTTGTTGGCCTTGTAGAACAGCACCAGGCAGTACATGGCAATGAACTGGGAACAGTTGTTGATAAATATAATGTATGGAAACGCAACATCCGTCTCGAAGGTGCCCTCTCCGTAGACCCCATTCACTTCGCAAATGCTGTTAGTACAAAAGTATATTAAATCAACTGACTAACAAAAGGAAAATCCACCCACAGAGGCAACTTACTAAGCCACAAACGTTGTGATGGGCCGAACCACCGTATACTGGAGGATGCCGTGCTTGCAGTTGTGGACAAAATCACGCCCGGTTGGCCACGGCGCCATGCAGCACAGGGGGAAGAAGTGCCTCACCGGGGGTTTGTATTCCAGTGTTCGCTCCAGGTCCATCTCCAGGTTGAGATAGTTGAGCAGGTACTTCATGAAGTTGTAGATCACGTATGCCTCGTAGCACTCGCGAATACTGTCCATGTAGATGGCATGCTGGGGAAACAGCAGACACAGCCACTGAAATGTCGGAGAGAGATAGAATGGATTAGGATTCGGAGTGTGAGTGCAATGATTGTTTCGTGCTTACCGCATTCAAGGCGTAGATAGGTACCATCCAAAGAACTCTGAAACGCAGATAAAACATACGATTTAATTACGACTTACGAGTAGGTACATTATACGGTAATAATAATTTTAGGAGATTTTTCAGTCTTTAAAATATGAGCAGTTCTTTCAAGCTGTACAGTACAGCGAATGAAGTCTTAATTTGAGATTTTTTTAGAATCAGAATCCAGATTTTTCCTTCTTTTAAACATTAGTAGTTCTTTCGGAAACTTTTCAATATTTCTAAGCTTTAGTACTTGAATGTTTTATGGGAAATCAGAATCGAATATCACTATTTCCGATATTTAAACATTTCAGAAATTTTATGAGTTACCTACAAACAGTTGCTTAATCTTGCCAAATAATTTTCTGCAAAGTTGTAGCTGATAAAAGTTCCCATAAGAATAGCAATATAATTTGTTAACAGTACAATATGTAAAAAGGCTAGAAGACAATGAACAAAAAGTTTTGATTTCCCATAGTAATTACCATATAAACTTCAAATGGTTTGTGCCAAGTCAGTTTCTTATCAAATGAGTTTAAACTTTCGGAGGCTAATCAGGACCCGATTTGAAACCGTTCGAACCTTGTGGAGCGAAAATTTCAAATTTTGCATCAGTCTAGTAAGCACTCACTCTGAGTGAACGCTCACGAATCATAAAATCACTGATTGTGACACTCTGAAAGCTAACTGACAGATTTAATGAATCAAACGCATACTTTACTACCTCTTCTTGCAGCTTTTGCAACCCTGGCCAAAATACAGGGCTTTCTCAAAAGAAATTCGCGACTTTAAATAGGTACTAATCCACGACAAATAATACACTGTGTTTTTTTCACTTTCGAATGTATGGGAATGGTAGGAAACCATTTGGAAATGCATGAAAATTTTCAGTTTTTATTTATTATCGTCTTTATAAGCAGTTTTAGATGCACAAAAATTGCACGAGTACATTACTATGGTGATAAGGTAAACACTCGTTTATTTGTTTCCTTCTGTGAAAGCATGTTTAGTCACAAATCGTGGATTTTCTAATATTCTCCATACTGCAAAAATGATTTTCCTACCACTGAAGGGGCGACATCTCTCGGATCTTCACTATAGCTACTACTCAAATCATATAATTAATTGCTAATACAGGACAAGAGGTTAGCCAGAAGGGTTCTTCATCTTTGGTGAACTTTTTGATTTTGTGTTGTACATGTTGTGTTTTACTGTGTAATGTTTTTCAATTTTCTTCTTGTGAAGTATGTTGTTTGAATGTTTTAATTTGTTATTCTACCTACTTAACCTAACGTAGCAGATCCATAACGATCTGTTGATTGGATCGCCTACAGCAATCTCTGAACCTTGCGATGGAGTCAGCTCTCCGTAAATCCAGTGTCTGAAGACCAGCCAGGCGGTGGACCTCATAATTTCTAGTCCGCGGGGGACTGTTAAGGATCATCCTAAGAATCTTATTTTGGATCCTTTGGAGTTTGAGGTAATGGCATTTGGCGCAACTCTCCCAGATTGGCATCCCGTATTCTATTACGGGAAGGATGATTTGTTTGTAGACAGCAAGCTTATTTTTCAGGAAGCTTGCTGTCTAGTGTTAGCCCGAGGTACACGACCTCCTTGGACCATTCCACCACTGAGCCGTTTAAGCAGATCTTATTATTCGCAGACGGAACAAGTCTGGGAGATTTTGAGTGTGGAAAGATGATGACCTGGGTCTTTGCCGCGTTGATACGGATCTTCCAGCTGTTGAAATATTCAGACAGGACGTCCAGGCCTCTCTGAAGTTTGGCAGTTAGAGCTCCGATGACCCTACCCTTGTAGACGATGGATGTGTCATCGTCCGACATATCGGAGGTGAACAGGTTGAATAGAACGGAGCCAAGGATGCTTCCTTGTGGAACCCCGACACCGATGTTGAATCCGATGTGATGCTATTCAGAGAGAGTCGGAACGTCCTGTCCGATAGATAGGTGTTTATTATCTTCACTAGGAAGATTGGAAGACCGTACTGCTGCAATTTGAACACCAGGCCATCATGCCAGATATTGTCGAACGCTTTTTCAACGTCCAACAACGCCATGGCAGATGTTTTCGAAACAGACTTGTTCCGTCTGAGAATGTTTGATACTCGAGTCAGCTGGTGGACGGTCGAACGACCTTTCCGAAAACCAAACTGTTCCTCGAGTAAGATGTTGTTTTGTTCGGCAGATGTTAGGAGCCGGTGGTAGACTGCTCTTTCGAACAGTTTTGATAACCCTGAGAGAAGGCTGATTGGTCGATAACTTGAAGGAGAGGAGGGATCCTTCTCAGGTTTCCGGATGGGTATGACTTTAGCTGACTTCCAACACAAGGGGAAGTAGCCAAGTCTGAGGCACTGAGTTTTAGATTCAGGATGTTGTCGAAACCTGGGGCCTTCATGTTTTTAGATGATTTGATAAAGGCCAGCAGTTCGTCAGCCGTAATCTCTGATTCCTCTGGAAAAAATGTTAGGAATCTGATGAAGATTGGATGCATTTTCAGCAACCTCAGATTCATGAGAGCTGACGATGTTTTGTCCGAGATTATGGGAGCTGACGAAGTGTTGACCTATCGCGGCAGCCTTCTCTTCAGGAGAGAACACCCTCAGTGATTGAATTGAATTGATCTTTATTTCTTGTATTTGTATGGTTTGCCGGCGCCGGTGGTGTAGTGGTAAGCGTGACTGCTTTCTCACCCCAATGCGTCTGGGTTCAATCCCAGCCGAGGTCGGTGGGATTTTTCTGAGGCATAGAAATCTCTGGTCACGTCTTCCTTCGGAAGGGAAGTAAAGCCGTTGGTCCCGGCCCATGTGTGTTTGATTGAATGGGTGCGATATCCTACGCAGGTGTGGAAGCTGCCTTCCTGCACATTCGATTACAGTCAATGGATGGCAATCGATGTCCGTCGGTGATTGGCACTAGATTGCGAAACAGAGACCGACGTTAAATTAAAAGGATAAAAAAAAAAATTTGTTTGGTTTACATGTATGGATTTCAAGTGACACAGATGCGTCTTTTCAACTTTAGTTATTTTGAAATTTTAATTATTATTTACTGTTTCTAGTCCTATCAGGCCTGTTAAAGTATGACCACCTTGGTGGGATTGGTTTGTTTTGAATTGGAAAAAGGAGACTACTTAAAACTATTATTTACAGCTACAACTAATCTACAACTACCATATACACCTAACCTACTATATACAAATTGCTTATCAAAGCATGTTCTGATGTATTGCATTTCTGCACAAATTTGTTCCTAGTTTCGTTAATTTGAAAATCTACTTTCGGAATGTTAGCCTCTTGATGGAGGTCGGAAATGCGGGTATCGAAAAGACGATCTAAGATCATCCTCAATACCCTGTTCTGCGCTACCTGTATTTTGTTCCTGTGCGTTTGTGCACATGATTCCCACACCGGAGCTGCGTAGAATATCGCAGGCGCAATGATTTGTTTGTAGACAGCCACTTTGTTCACCCTAGAGAGACGAGATCTGCGGCAAATTAGCGGATACAAGCACCTAACTAGATTGGAACACTTAACTACTGCCCTATCTATGTGCCAGCGGAAAAGGAGCTTCTCGTCAAATAACATACCAAGATATGTTACTTCGGTGGACCACTCAACCCTTGTGCCATCCATTATTACAGTACAAGAGGGAGCCACTTTTAGTTAGAACACCCTCAGTTTAGGGTTTTCATATTTATACTAAGTTTGGCTTCCTTCGAGAACGTTCGAAACTGGCCTGTTACTAACGACGTTGTTACTGTTGCTAACCTAACAACGTTGCTTCCTCGTTGTTGTTCCTAAAGACGTTGCTGACTTGGATCGCTTTAGGAAGTGCTCGTCTCATACATTCTACCCCCGTTGGAATGCAATTCCAATTCTAACTGAAGATTCTGGTTGTTATCCTGTAGTGGCAACGGGGCTCTTTTGCCTACTGCTACTACTGCCTACTGTTGTATTTATATAAGCAACTCGCACGATACCGTCCTTCCCTGGGTGAACTGCGATGATTATTCCTAGTTTCCATGTTTGCACTGGTTGGTTGTCCTCTGCCAGTAGAACAACTGTGTCGACGTCGATATTGGGTTGTTTCTTGGTCCACTTCGCTCTTGATTGGAGTGTTGACAGGTACTCTCGAGACCACCTTTTCCAAAAATGGTCCTGCAGCTGATTCAGATACTGCCATCTTGTAAGACGATTGACAGAAACGTCCTCGTATGATGGTTTGAGTATCGGCTCCAACGGCTTCCAAGCATGAGATGAGCCGGAGATATCGGTTGTGGATCGTTCGGGTCATATGACGAAGCAGACAATGGCCGGGAGTTTACAATTGATTCAATGCTAGTCACCACAGTATACACGGAAAGAAAAAAGTACCTAAAATTGAGTAAAAATTTACTCAACTCTGGGTTCTACCACTTGAGGTCCATCGTTGAGTAATTCTCAAAAATGTTCTGGTTAAAATTTACTCAACTAATGAGTAACATCAGATGAACTCAAATTTGAGTTATTTTTCTGATGAAATTCAATTCAATAAACATTATTTCTAGATAGAGCTGGAATTAGGGCGTAACAGCCTTTGTAAACAATAACTTCTCTCGTTGATTTCTCGGAATTCAAGGCACGCCTACACAAACCAACATATCCATCGAGTAGGAGAAGTCTTCCTCTACTCGATGGTGATGTCGATTTGCCAGGGAGAGCCATGGCTTCCGCGAAATCATCGAGAGAAGTCATTGTTTACAAAAGCTGTTACGCCCTAATTCCAACTCTATCTAGATTTATTTAATTGTATTTATTTTTAATGTTGTTATAATTTTTAATTTATGCATGTTTTTTAAAAGTACACCATTAAATAATTGTTAAAAAATCATCTAAAATATGTTTCAATATATTTCTTTCAAATCAATCGCACTGTGATTTGAAGTGAAAATAAACTCAAATTTTAGTTAAAATAACTCAACCGGCATGTTCTCACATTTGTATCAATCGTTGAGTAC